CAAAATTCTCCTGCCTCAGCCTCCCAAGTGCTAGAATTATAAACATGAGCCATTATATCTAGTTTATCATCTTTTACTATCTGAATTTTTGCTGGTGTATAGTTTTAACTGTTTTGAATAGTTTACTTTTTTTCCCCAGTACTGAGAATAGAACCAAGGGCCTTTTCAGTGAGCCATACCCCTTCCCATTATTAATAATTTTTATAATTTGAGACAGGGTCTTACTAAGTTACCCAGGTAGCACTTGAACTCGTGATCCTCTTGCCTCAGCCTCCCAGAGTGCTAGGATTACAAGCATGCCCCACTGTGCCCAGCTTACAGATATTTTATATTTGTAATATTAAAATCATTTATTATAATATAATTTTATATATGTATATAAATTATATAATTTGATAGGATTTCTCATTTTCAGCGAAGGTATGAGAATAGTACAGAGAATTCATGGCTACCCTTTACCCAGACTTTCTAAAATTAACATTTTTAAATACCAAAGAAAGTTTCCTTTTTTAAAAGGAATGGACTCCAGCAGAGATAGGCAGGTTCTGTTATCCCTCTTTTGCACATGAAGAAATAGAAACTCAGAGAGGTTGAACAGCTTTACTCCCAGCAAGTTAGCAGTGGTAGAGGTGGGCCAGACCTCCGGTCCTTGACAGTCTAGGTTTTTTTTTTTGGTACCAGGGATCAAACTCGGGACCTTGTACTTTCAAGGCAGGTGATGGAACCACTGAGCTAAATCCCCAGACTCCCAAGTCTAATTTTGAAGTGAGAGGCTCAACAGAATTCACTTGAATCCAGTTGAATTAGGTTCCTCAATTAAAGTTGCTTCTCTTTCTGAGATTCATCATTACCCCAGACTATTTTTGGATTTCTGAAAATTCCGAGTAACTGTTGGATCCGTCAGAATAGTAACAAGATGTGAACAGCCCGGTGTGACATCTCAAACACTTGGGACCTATTTCTCTTACCATAACTGCACCTGGAAGGCTCCTGGCATCCTCCTGCCACCAGAGGCAGAGGGGAACAATTTATAAACATACTTCCTATACCACTCCTAATTCTTTCTGAGGTCAAATATCTGTTGGGAGAGAGAGAGAAAAATGATTTATAAAATGGTATTTTGGAAACTTTTGAGTTAAATGGGGTTATAAAGTTGTTCTTTTCCCATCCACGAGGGGGCACCATTTCCTCACATTTTTCTCATCTCTAATGGCCCATTTGTTTTCTCATTACCTTTTAAAAACTTTATTATAGTCATAGTAGTACATAGTCAATATCAAGTAATTGAAAATACTTATAGGAAAAAGGAGGAAAATTTGAAAACCCTTTTTTCATAGATTAAAACTATGAATATAGATTTCATAGATAACAGCTCCTAGTATATTACCACTGCTAGTGTTTATCCTTCCATACTTCTTTCTAATAGGTCTATACACTTACAAAGTTAGGGTTGGGGATTTAGCTCAGTGGTTCTGCCGCCTGCCTCACAAGCGCAAGGACCTGAGTTCAATCCCTGCTACCAAAAAAAAAATAAATTTATCAGGGCCGGGAATTTAGGTTAGTGACACCTGCCTGCCTTACAAGCTCAAGGTCCTGCACTTGATCCCTGGTACCAAAGGGGGGGGAGGAAATTTATTTGTTGAAGTATAACAATATAGAGGGTATACAAATCTAAAGTGAACAACTTGGTGAATTTTCATGAAATGAACATAGCCATGTAACCACCACTCAGCTAAAGAAATGAGACATTTTTAGAAGGCCTTTCTTGCTGCCTCAAAGTCACTGCCTTCTCCAAAGGTAACCACTAAGTGGCTTCTAACATGAGAGAATAGTTTTACTTGTTTTCTTTCTTTCTTTTTTTCTCATTGAGTTTATTGGTACATTTTAGGTATACAGTACAGTTACATTCATCATTGGGATCTTGTACCCTTGCATGATGGGTCTTGGTTCTTGTTTTTTCCCCTTGTCCCCGCCCTTCCTTCACCCCCTCCTCCCTTCCCTATTTACAGATACTTTATTTCCATCTTTTCATTTTCTTAGATATTTTTTTCTTTTCCCTTATTTCCTTTCCCCTACCCTTCCCACTTTCCCTACACCTTTAGCCCTTTTCTTCCTATTTCACATTGTCAATTATACCATTAGGATCATATGTAGTTTTACTTGTTTTCAAACTACATGTACCATATGGTATATGCCGTTGGTTCTGTTTTTGTTTTTTTTTTCCCCTAACGTGTTAGTAAGATTTATTCAGGTGATTGTGTGTTGAAATAGTTCATCCATTTCCTTTGTTTTAATGAATTCGTTATCCTGTGTACTGTGAATGAGTGACTTTCTGCAGATGTACAGGTAATAAATATTTTAGGCTTTGTGAGCCATGCTGTATCTGTCACAACTTCTCAACTTTGTTATTTTAGCCTAAAAATCAGCCATAGACAATATGTAAATGAATAGGTGTAGCTGTATTCCAAAAAAACTTTATTTTCAGAAAAAGAGTTCTGGGCAAGATTTGGCAATAGTTGCAACTCCTGTTGTACAATGGTATAATATTGTGAGGTTAAAGTGATTGTGATTTCGTAAATAGCCTTTATAGCTCATCATTTTTCCTGTGAGAGGGGAATTCTAGGTGGTGAAATAACAGCGTGGCACTTTTTTTTTTTTCTTAGTCTCTGGCAAATATAGATGAAGTCGTGAACAAAATTAGACTGAAAATAAGGTAAGTAACACTGTATGTTTGTTAATGAGAAGTATGTTGTTAATTTAATCATTTTGAATCATATTTGGAATCACACAGAGCACTGAAATCTCAAATTTAAAAAAAATAATAATTCTTTTATCTGGGTTTCCATATGAGCCCTGTGGCAAGGAACTTAATTCTTTGGCCATTGTTCTTTGTTCACTGAAAAAGGAAGGGTTGGGGATTTAGCCTCTGCCTGCCTTGCAAGCACAAGGACCTAAGTTCAATCCCTAGTACCAAAAAAAAAAAAAAAAAAAAAAAAAAAAAACAAAACAAAACAAAAGGAAGGAAGTTATAACAGTTTGTTCAAAACAGTTAATTGTAAGAGGAAACAATTTGTTTTCCTTTTTTTGATACTGGGGTTTGAACCCAGGACCTTCACACCAAGCTGTATCCTCAGCCCCTTTTACATTTTTAAAATTTTGAGACACCCTTGCAAGTTGCTAGGTTATTCATGCTAGGCTCAAACTCATAGTGATCCTCCTGCCTCAGCCTCTCAGAGTGCTGAGTTAACAGATGTAAAGCACTACAATATTTTTTAGTGATTTCCCTTCTCTAGTAGATTTATCTTTTTTGTATTACCAAAGGTCAGATATACAGCTGGGTTTATATATATATGTATCTCTTGTTTCCTACTGGCTTACAGTGTGGGTCTGAAGGTTGACCTGGGTTGTGGTCCAAGATTAAATGTTGTGATTGACCCAAGATGGGATTGTCCAGAATGACTGTTAGTGCCCTTCCTGCCCAATACCCTTGTTCTGGTTTATGCATGTCTGAGTTTACAGTTTTGACATATGGAAAGCACTCAGCAACAAATGTCAGTTCATTATCGAAATAGGTTGATTTTCTTACCTTCCTTAAATTAGGTCCAATGATATAGTTTTGTTTTTTGTGGTTGTTTTTAATTTTGGATGAAAGAAAGTATTCATTTTGTTTCTTTTTGGTACTGGGGATTGAACTCAGAACCTTGCACTTGGGAGGCAGGTGACAGAACCACGGAGCTTAATCTGTGGCCTGAAAGTATTCATTTTGAATCCAGGAGATGAATTTTTGCCTTTGGGTCTTTTGGTGAAGGCCTTTTCCCCATGAATGTATTCTTTCATTGGTGGCTTAGAAGTGCAAAGAAGCCAGGCATGGTGGCACACACTTGTAATCCAAGCACTCACAAAAGGATTGCTCCATGAACTACATAGTGAGAATCTGTCTCAAAAAAAAAAAAGGTGCAAAGAAGCCTCATATGTGTGTATATATGTATTTATTTGTTTGTTTTTTGACACTGGGTCTCAGCTTGATAGTTCAGGCTGGCCTTGAATTCATTATGTAGCTGAGGCTGGCCTTGAACTCATGGTAATAATCCTGCCTCAGCCTCCTAAATGCTGGGATTACAGGCTTGCACCACCATGCCAGCTAGTTTTTATTGTTTTGTTGGACTTTAGCTATAACAATTCTAGTAGAGACCACTAAGTTGTCCAGTGTTTGCAGAGAAGTTCTCTGATTATCCCATGATCACTTGTGAGCTAGGTAATCTCCACCTTCTCACTACCATACCTTTCATGAAAAATGAGATTGACCAGTAGAAATTCTTCTGGTTGAGGTGCCATGGTGTGGCTCCTGTTGAGCCTCAGGGAAAAGAGGATCCAGGAGCCTTAGATGTGTTTCATATATGTTGCAAAATTGGGACCCAAAGGGTAAGTACTGATTTCATATCACCTTTTACTGTCTCTTGAGAAAGAAATTGTGTAGAGGTAATTGGAATTCTCAGGCTTATTCCTTTAAAGTTTCTACAACTTTGTCATTATCTGTTTGCTTTTCTGGTTTTTAAAATTTGTTTGTTTTTGTTTTTGAGACAGGATCTTGCTGTGTAGTTCAGGCTGTCCTTGGACTCACAGTGATCCTCCTGCCTCAGGACTGGGATTACAGATGTGTGCCACCAGGTCCGGCTGTCATTCCTGATTTACTCCATGAATAGTACTAAAATTTTATCAGTTGTTTTGGAGTACTCTGACTATTCATTAAAAATTGACATTCATCATCATCATCATCATCATCATTATTATTTTGAGACAGCATCTCACTAAGTCACTGAGTTGCCCAGGCTGCGCTCTAACTCACGTCCTCCTGCTTCAGCCTCCCAGACTGCTGGGGTTAGAGATGTGTACCATCCTGCCTGGCTAGTCCAACGCCTCATTCTTCTATCACTCACATTTGTTTGGTTTTTCTGGGTGAGTAGGTGGAGTCTGCAAAAGTTGATGGATAAATACCTCATACCTGTAGTCTCATCACTTTGGAGGTAGGAGAATCATTTCAAGTTTGAGGTCAGCCTGGGCTACATAGTGAATTCAAGGCCAGTCTGAACTACATAGCAAGACCCTCTCATGAAAAAACAACAAAAGTTGAGTATAAATCATTGATTTTTTTCTTTTGGTCCACCAGAATAGAGATTATTTGAATGATTTATATCCTTTAACTTTTTTGCTAGGAGACTGGATGACAATATTCGAACTGTTGTAAGAGGTCAGACAAATGTGGGGCAGGACGGAAGGCAAGTAAGTAACTTACTCCTCTGCGTTACACTCCCTTAATCCACTCCACACCCCACCACCACTGTACCGGGGATTGAACTCAGGATGTTGCACTTATGAGGCAGGTGCACTTATGAGGCAGGTGCAGTGCCATTGAGCTAAATCCCCGGCCCTCACTGAGCTAAATCCCCAGTTCTACACTCCCCTAATTTCATTAAGACTCACTACCAAGTAGCCAAAATGTTGCTCTGTCTGCTTATAGAGCACTTTATTGATGTGTCCCATACACAGCAGGAAACACATATGACTTGCCCACCCCTCCCAACCCCCTGCCAGGCCAGCCTGCCCATACCACCTGTGAGAGCTTTCACTCAGTGTTCCTAGGACCAGGACCATAGACTTGGGCACAGCTCATCTGGTGCTGGGCTCTGCAGGCTGCAGTGAGCAGACTGAAGTTTCCTTGTGCTTTACCTGAGTGTCTCACATTTCTTGTGCCTTCTTTATTTTGTGTCTGTGGCTAAATAAGGTCACTGCTTTTGTCTCTCATTTCAGTTGTGGCTTTGCTATTTTGTTGCTGCAGAAGAAAGTTGCCTGACATAGTTACAATTCCTCATACCTAGCTGGCCAGTGAATAGGTAACTGGGTTTGTTTCAGAGTTTTACAGGGCTTTTTGGATCTAATCAAGGAGAGCTGTTGAGAGGGGATGAAAGGAAAAAGAAGTGTGTGGGGAGGAGATATTCTTTAGTGATTGAGAGGCCAGATGTTATCTATTAGCCATTTTAAAAAAAATTTGGATTCTCTTCTTGTGTTTAGGCATCATATTTCAGAAATTGCTGTCATAACAGAAATACTGAGCATGCCTTTCTAGCCTTCCTCTTATTGTGTCTGGTCTTCCCTTTTCAATGCTAACTCAGTTAGGTCAAGAGTATATAACTGTGATAGCTTCAGTTCTGTTGTCTGCCTTTTTTGACTATGGTTAACTTCTGTTTTTTGTTTTTTGTTTTTTGTTTTTTGAGACAGGGTCTCACTATGTAGTTCAGACTGCTCTGGAACTCACTGTGTAGCCCTGGCTGGTCTTGAACTCGTAGTGATCCTCCTGCCTCGGCCTCCTGAGTGCTGGGATTACAGGTGTGCACCACCATGCGCATTTTATGGTTAACTTCTGAAAATGTTCATTATGCTGCCTAGATTTGGGGTGAAGAGAAGGCTATGATCTATGTGGAAATTTTACGACCTTTATTTAATATTTGTTTCCCTCTAATGACTCTGGTGTTATGAGTCTCTCTTTTACTTTGCTTATTTTGGTGTGTGTGGGTTTTGTTTGTTTGTTTGTTTTTTGGGTTTTTTTGGTACCAGGGATCGAAGGTGGGAGCTTGTGCTTCTGAGGCAGGAGGTGACACCTGGCCCTTTTTTGTTTGTTTTTTGAGACAGGGTCTCACTATGTAGCTCAGGCTGGCTTGAATTCATAGCATCCTCCTGCCTCAGCCTCCTGAGTGCTGGGATTACAGGCATGTGACACCATGTCTGGCTTCCTCGTTTACATTTTTATTTTTTTGTAGGTACCGGGGATTGAACTCAGGTCCTTGCGCTTGCAAGGCAAGACACCAAACCGCTGAGCTAAATCCCTGGCTGCTCTTTTACATTTTTAATTTTATCCATCTCTTTTTATTACTTTTTTTTCCTCTTAATGGTCCTTTTCCATTAGCCTATTTATTATAGACATATTGGGTTCTTAAAACTTGGACTCTTGCATGACTCTTAGTCCTTTTTGCTTTCATTTTTGTCATGTAGTTCTGCTTCTCTAGCTGCCATGCCCCAGGTAAATGGGGCCCTTGCAAGTAATAAAGAGGAACAGGGTAGCTTGCCAACACTCCTGCCTAATTAGCCTTTCTAATATATATCTGATCATATCATCTCCCTCTTCAGAAACCTTCAGAGCCTTCTGACTTCCCAAATGAAATCCAATATCCTTTTTCACCATTCAAGGCTTCTGTCTGTATTTCTGATTTTGTCTCCTCTTGTGTTCTGTCCATGCCAAAGACTTGGTGTTCTAGAAGCATGCTGTGTGCTTTCTGGGTCTATGTTTAGGTACTTCTTTGTGCCTGAAATGTTTTCTGTCATCTCTCTTTCAGTAGCTACGTTTCAAAATCTTACCCATTTAAGGGTCAGTTCAAATAATTTTGTGGTTTTTTTCTGTTTACTTCATTTGGATAACACCAAAGGAATCAATTTTAGTGCTAGCAGGGATTGGAATTTGGCCCACTCCTTTCATTCTTCAGAGGAGAAAATTGATCCTAGCGTCACTCATTCAGATGTGTGGTCTGTCTGCCCGTGGGTTCCCACATCCCTCTACTGTGCTTTGCCTTTGGCTTTTATAGTCTCCCTTGACCTATTGAAGAACACAGTTTGTTCTCTTAACTACAGTAGTTTTGTTTTTGTTTTTTTTTGTACCAGGAATCAAACTCAGGCCCTTACGCTTGCGAGGCAGGTGACAGAACCACTGAGCTAAATCCCCAGCTCTACAGTAGTTTTTAAGAGCTTGATCTTGCCCTTTTTTCTGTGTTTCAGCGCATGTAGTCCACATGCAATAACATTTTATTCAAATTGTATTGAGTATTTGGTGTATATAAGATGATTAATTGCAAACAAACAAAAGTCCTTTATCATGTCAGTGTTCCTTTAAAATGGCTTTAAAGGATTCTTGCATGGGAAATTTTTATTTTTTTATTTCCCTGGTGCTGGGGCTAGAATCTGGCCCTCACCCATGCTAGACAGGCACTCTACCACTGAGCTATGTCCCCAGCCCTTGATTTGTGCATGAATAATGCAGCTTTACTACCATTTGGAATAACATTACTGCTTAGTCTGAGTCAGCCTGCATTTAGAAAGGCTCATCAGAAATCTGTACTTAAGAGAGTTTCAGGTGTTTAAAATTCCAAGAATGTGGGAATAAAGTGGTTCTCCAGGACTTTTTGTTGGGTTGTGCTCTGTTGACATATATCTTTTAGTTATTTACATTTAACCCCTGGGTCATGAAGTAGCAGTATTGGAGAGGCAGGCGCAGAAGTAGGCAGGCTGCAGGAATGTTGCATTCCCCACCTTCACAGGGTAATGGGTTACAGGTTGCTGCAGCAAAGCCGGTCTTATTTCAGAGAGAAAGACCACATTTTCAAGAATGTTTAGATAGCATTTCAATCTGTGATGGAATTTTGTATTCGTCTCCTTAGAATCCAGACAGAGAGGAAGCCCAGAAGAAATAATGACTTTTCCTGTCATCCCCTCCATCTGACTTTTCCAGCAGTTTGTAATGCAAACGTGGGTTGAGATTTTTTTTTCAGGGAGCTTTTGGGTCCTGTCCTTGTCAACTCTTAGGGAAGAAAGCTTTACTCTTCAGCCTTGGCTTGCTGGTGGTTTGCTGAAGGGAGTCTTTATTTGACTGGCACAGACTTGGGAGAATTATGGATGTTCCAAAATACTGAGTTTTATAGGTCAAGAGGCCCCATGTTTCCCTCTTCCCTGGAACACGGGAAAAGTTTGCTCTCAGAACCTGTTTCCTCAGCTTCTGAGAAACACTCAGGAGCAGCAATATGGACAAATGGAAGTTTTCCTTTACTAAATTTAATCTTGATTGTGTTCAGCTAGAACAGGTCTACTTTTTAATCTGTAATTAAGAGGAATAAGAGGAATGTGTTTATTTTACATTCATAGGTTTAGCAGACATTTTTTTTTAAGTTCTTTTTAAAAATTATTTCTGGGGAGGGGTGACAGAAATTGAAGATACAATGAGCTATTTCTTCATTCTCTTGAAGTTTCTAGAATACCAGCTGCTGCTCAGTCAACACTTTGCTAAATGTTTTAGAGTATCTTTGGTTGTTGACCACCTTGTCTGTGGGCCAACTTGAACTGGTCTAGTCTGTGACCTTCTAACCAGACTGATTCTTTTACAAAGTTAATATGGCACTGAATCCTCCACATTTTTATCTGTTGAAATCATCAGTCCACAGCTTTAATTAAATCCCCATATGTTCAAAACTTTGTGGATAAAGTGAGTCAGTTCAACAAGTACATGATCTGATATGCTATGAAATTTATACAGCTTCCCAAAAATTAAGATGGAATACTTGAAGGTAGGTAGAAAGAGAGGTGAACAGACGTGTGGGATAGAGGAAAAAAATGTAGGCACGTGAAGCTGCATGAGTGGTCAACCTTGACCAATTCCCAGGGGCTCGCTGAGAATCACCAAGACAGGACCAGCCACTAGGTTTCCATCTCTTGAGTGCTGCTTGGCTGCAGTGTGGCTCTTTCTTTGATTAGAGCATGACTCAAGTTTGGAAGGGGAAGAGAACTATCACTGCTCTACAATTCTACTCACTAAAAGTTTGATTTGGAGCCAGGCGAGATAGAACACATCTGTAATCCCAGCACTCTGGAGGCTGAGGCAGGAGGATTGCTGTGAGTTCGAGACCAGCCGGCTACATAG